CCTCTACCCCTGTATCTGCGAATGCACGTTTAGGTATACGTGGACAAAAACCTCGTCCCATGCATTATTATAGTTAAAGACTTAAAAATACTATTTGATAAATGTATCAATGATATAAATTTCTGTCAAATAACTTGAATTAAATTATAGAATTTCTTTTTAAAATTAGTCGCGTACACCTTTTACATTCGGGTGTGTTGGAAACTACTTTTTAAACGTTAAAACTTAAAAAAAAAAAAAAAAAAAAAAAAAAAGGAGAAACTTCGAGCTTCGGATTTCATTATTTTAATATTTTCATGCTAAATTTTTATTTGGTAGTTTTTAAAATTCACATTTTGAGAAGAACCGAAATATGGGTCAAGTGAAATAACAAGAAATGATAGGTGTATTTGATTACAAGTTGATAGCTTAAGTATTCCATTAAAATATTTTTGTCAATTAAATCATCCAAAATTTAATAACAAAATATTTAAAGATTAAAAAAAGTAGTTGGGATTGATTTTTACATTAAGTCTATATCAGCAAAAAATGCGTGTTCAAAAAGCAAAAAGTGCTAGTGCTAGTCTGCATAAGCAAATTACACAATCGTTATTGAAAAAACTCAAAGGATTTTTATAGTGATACGATCCCCTATTGGAAATAATATGTGTAAGCAAATAAAAGCGAGGCGTATCAGTGCCTCTCCCATTCTTTTCAACCGATGCCCATATTTCATCTACCCGAGGGAAAACAGCAACATATTTCTTTTGGTTTTTTAAATACCTTTTCACATCACAAATATCCTACAAGAATTGAAGCATGTCATCGCTTACATGTCAAATTCCAACTTTAATATATTTCCAAGTGGGGTAAGTTTTTAATCCGTTTGTTTGCTAGCGCTGCATAAGCAAATTACACAAATAACTACTAAATACACTTTTAAAATGAAATTATTATTATTTTTTTTCTATTTTAAAAATATTTATGTAAAACAAGAGCAAAATTGACCTTTTTGTGGCATGTTCATTTTAACAATACATGTACATTCTGAATTCCCGGATAAAGAGTTGCGAAAGATACCAGAGGGACATTTAAACACATATGTCGAAAATAAAGAGACAACGCCATGGTTAAAAAAGAAAAAGGTCAATAGACAAACAATGGTACACAAAACACAACATAGAAAACTAATGACTGAGCAACACGAACTCCACTAAAAATTAGGGGTGATCTCAGGTGCTCAAGAAGGATTTACTTATTTACTCTGTAAACAAGATACACTATGTGGAGCACATAAGCAGTGACCGAATCTCTAAAAATTCCTTAATTTACTTATATAGAATATAAGAACTTGTTGTAGAGCAAAAGGTCGGAAGGCTTCCAAAAAATTAAACAAAAGTTTTAATAACAATCTGCTGTTGTTCTAATGTTCCTAAATATAAATTACTGTGTTGTTATTATTACTGTCACAATTGTTGATATTATCATGTTTATTTTTGTTGGTTCGTAACCTCAAATTGAGATCATCATACGGCCTCCAAAATGAATGCACTCACATGAAGTTGCGGAGTTTTAAGACATTAACAACAATTCCGAACTTTACAGAGTTAATAAGGTCTGTCATAAAGTTACTGTGAACAAACGTTAAACAGTACATGACCTCATTATCATACCTCAGAGGTCAGAATCAGTTTCTGGATAAGATCAATATCTCAGAAGTTACACATAGCGATGTATAATACAGACACTATTCAATTAACAGCAACTACAGTTTTTATCACATTAACCTTTTATATCTGTTTTGGTTGCTCATCCAATTTTGTCAATTTAACGGAACTTTAAATACTAGTAACTGTCATACAAATTGGAGTTTCAGCTAGCTATAAAACCAGGTCTTACCATCATTCACTTCGGAACATGTCTGTACTTATTCAGGAATATGACAGTTGTTTTTCACTCGTTCTGTTGGTTGATGACGTTTGATTTTTCTCAGTTTTTATGGACTTCTTTAACCGGATTTTCGAAGGAAATATCGGTTATTGATTTGGGGATGTACGGCATGCGGGCGGACGGGCGGCTGCCAAACAGTCTCTTCAATAACATGAAAACGCTTTGACGATTTTTTTTCAAATTAAGATATGTTGTTTCCTGTGACTAAATGAAGGTCAAGTTCAATTTTCACGATTTAAGCTTTTCTATTTGTTGAGTTATCGCCCTTTTTAATAATCAAAAATGGTACTATTATGTGATTGAGTTATTTCTCTTTGAACAGAAATGGTTAATTATATATATAAAGTTGATTACACTAACATGACTAATTTTCACCTGTTGATAGATAACAGAGCATCTGGTATATGTCTTATGATTGGGTTGCCAGATTTATTTGAAAATTTTCTTTTTCCCAAGTGTTGATGATTATAAGATATATAGATAGATATAAGAAGATGTGGTATGAGTGCCAATGAGACAACTCTCCATCCAAGTCAATTTTTATAAAAGTAAACCATTATAGGTCAAAGTACTGTCTTCAACACGGAGCCTTGGCTCACACCGAACAGCAAGCTATAAAGGACCCCTAAAATTGCTAGTGTAAAACCATTCAAACGGGAAAACCAACGGTCTAATCTATATAAAAAACGAGAAACGAGAAACACTTATGAACCACATCAACAAACGACAACTACTGAACATCAGATTCCTGACTTAGGACAGGTGCAAACAATTGTCGCGGGTTTAAACGTTTTAATGGTACCAAACCTTCACCCTTATCTGACACAATAGTGTAACATCACAACATAGACACACTATAAAATATCAATTGAAATGGCTTAACTCAATCAAAAGACATATTAACACCAGTGAACATACACTGAACAAATACATTTGATCTATGATACAATGTAAATACAAAATAAATAAACTAAGGGAAGAATAATTAAAGTAACATGTTATACCTCTGTGAAATGTTAAACAATTTAAGAAAAACAATATGCTTGGACAAAAATATCAGCCATTTGCAATTACTTTAAACACAGGTAAATGAAAACAATTTTGTTGTTAGGTATACGTGTACAGTTCAAATGGAGAAAGGAAATATTTACAAAATAAATAATTTGGTGTTCATAGTACGAAGAAGTGAAAATTTATAGTAATACCAAACACTTATCAAAGCTGGTATATAGATATAACCCTGAATAACATTAAATAACAAAAAAGCATTACATTTAGTATCAACAGGTCAAATAAACAAGAAAGTACGATTTGAGAGTACTCGCAGATAGTTAAAAGCCATAAACAATTAATGATAAAAAATCATGCATCAGAGACTAAAATCAACAAAAACACATCCCAGGGATTTAGTATTTTAACGTCATGGACAGTCAAAGAAGACATGACTTGTGCAATGCCAAAAATAAATGTATCGACAGGCAGTAGGATAGTTTATAGATCAAAATGAACGTGGGTGTGTCTTTATACATCCCGTTTGAAATGAGTAGGGGCAATAAGGGCCAAAATCGGCCCCAATTTTCACAAAAAAACGAAGTTCCTTTACAGTTACATATTACCAACTAAAATAATCATTGTATAGTGTGTTTTCAGAAAACATATTATTTTCGGCAAAAATCACGTTCCGTGACGTCACAATAGAACCTCGAAAACGCCATGATTTGTAATTATTGCTTAGAATACAAAGATTTTCAGTACATTTTACGAGAATTCGTACCCTCCGCAGGCATGTGCCAAAATTTCCTTTAAACGATAAACGGAACTATAAACAAACAAAATAGTAGCAAAATATTTTTTTGGCACATGCCTGCGGAGGGTATGAATTTTTTGTCAAAAGCGGAATCGTTTCTTCTCGGGAGGCATTGAACACCTGACGTTATACCCCTCTCAGATAACCAGTTTACTCGCAAATACAACTTATAACTTCCATGTGATGCAAATTAATATTATGCATCTCAAAGTGGATTGTTTTTAAACCTTTTTCAGTCTTCTTAGTCTTTTCCATGGTTTATTATTGATATGACTGTGGATCGAATAGAGACACAAACTTGGGGCCAGGGCATGTTTTCAAACGATGACCGATAAAAAATAGAAAGAAAAAAGAACAGAAATAAAATTATAAAAAAATCAGTATAGAACTTAATTTTACATTTAATTAATTGATTTGCGACATGTAAAATATTTAGTTTGTCTGATCACTTTATATATATAACATGATCATAAAAAAGTAGTTTCGAAAATTGGAAAAAAACCGGTTCAGATTCTTGAAGACATCTTTTAGGACAACCACAAAAGGAAAGCGTCTTACTCTATAGTTACCAGCAGTACTTTAGACCCGATCTACTTAGCTCAACTTTAGAGAATAGCTGTCAAAGGATTATTAATTTCGGTTGTAATTCAAAAGGGTATGTTGATTATTTTACTTATCAATTTATCTCAACAGAAATATGCGGGGTTCCGTACAGTTTTTCATATTTAAAATATTAATCTTCTCACGGTAGTATTTGCACGATCATTTCAACTTAAAAAGCTTTCATCAATCCGTTTGAAAACTAAATTATACCAAAAATGAATTGGTATCTTTACCAGAAATGTCCTTATTTTACAGTTGAATATCAATATTGCCGGGCGATGAAAAAGAAAAGAAATTTACGGGGTATGAAAACTACTTGTACTAGGAAACTTTTGTGTGTTTCTTTTCTATAACGATATATTATGAATATATACATAAAAATAAAGAGTGAAAAGATCACAATTTATCCTACAATTTGAAGTTAAAACAGTATTATAGTTTCTTAGGTGTCGTATGCTGAAGAAACTTTTCTAACGTACTGTTGAATTTAAGTACCTGTAAATTAACAAATTATGAACAGTTGACTGGATAGTCGTGAGGATAAGGTAGTCATGCTGGCAGTACGGAGATGCCAAGTTCGAATCTCAAAATTTTTTTTGTAATTTTTTTTTTACGATAAATGCATAAATACTTTTTTAATATTGTCATAACGTGTTGAAGAATGATTTTGAATGATGAAGTTTTTTTTTATAGATATTTACTGAAGAGCAGTATACATGGTATTTTGAATAGAGACATTGTACTTCACCAGTATGTACTAGCAGTTGTCACTTACATACTTAATGGTCCCTTAATAAGGTATTCCTTATTTTTAACTGATTCATGTCTTAAAGCATTTGTGCTCGAATAAACAGTTTAAACCTATGTTTGAATGATGATTAATTGATAACATTGTATTATCAGGCACAGAAACAAATAGACTACTTTTTGACAGTTTATAGTGTGCGGCTATAGAAGTAATAATCTTTTATCTTTAAATTGAGAAATGGTTATTAATATTTTTATAGTAATTTTAATTAACTTTCTCACATAAAATGTTTACTTAATACCCTGTCATATTTAGTTCAAAATAAGTATACATTATTTTGATAATCTTCATTTTTTTCAACAGATTTTAAGCTGGCTTAAACAATGCAAGTGTATGCTGGGTCAAAGGAATATGTCGGTTCCTGATAGGAACTCATGACCTTAAGGTGAGTCTAGGGTTAAGATAAATTGACTGCGTGTTTTAACTTCTAGTAATTATGATAAACGTATCTTGATGAGAGCATGCATTATCTACATTTCGAGAAGACTTAGAGATTTACATATTGAGTAGACATTATTTTGTTGAATATTATATGTCTCCCTCTGTTTGTCTTTTGTGTGTGTGTGTTGTTATAGGGGTGGTGGTTTGCTGTCCCATTAATGTTTATCCGTTACATCTTTGTATTCATGTTTTAGGTTGTAATTTTCTAATATATGAAGACTTTAAGATTTATTAATTATTATTAACTATCCGTAATTTTGATACTGACTTAAACACTTTTGTCCGTTTAAACGTTAAACGATAATTAAGTATATAAACAATCAGGGTTGAATATAGCATATTTCAAAACTGATATTTTGTGATGGAATTTGCATGTAAATTAACAAAAACGTAAACATACACACACACACACACGTGCGCAGACAAATACACACAACTAAACTAAGAAACATACGCACCATGATATTCTCAGGCTAAAACATTTTACGATATTGTATTTTATAATTTTAAATCACACTTCGGATATTCTGTATGTTATTCTGATTTACCTCATGCTATCTGTTGAAATATTTCCATTTCTAATTTTCAGAGAATGTCAACGCCCAGAAACTATACTTGCATTTTGTGTTCAAAGAGACCAAAAACCAGAGACAGGCGGAAACTCATAGGACCCAACAATAAATCACTGCGTAAATGTTTACAACAGAAGTTTTTCATTGAACAGGACAAAATTAATCACACTAACAGTGTTATATGTAATAAATGCAGAATACGATGCTCTCGAGAAATTGACACAAATGTAAGATGCCCCATACAAACTACAATATCTGAATTAAATAATGATGACACGGAGTACGTCCCTCCAACAAAATATGCTAGATGTCATCCATGTAAATCTCCGCCAAGTATCGCACTGCCTATACCATCAGCTGGAGGTGGCCATTCGCAGTGTGTTGTGTGTAAACGCCGAGGCCCAAAGCTAGTAGTCGTCCCAACAAACGCTAGATTTAATTTATTTTTGGATAAACTCATTGTTCTCACAGTTGGTGCCAGATGTTGTCCAGGTCACTTGTGCAATGACATATTTTTACCTGATGCACTTGACAGAATTTCATATTCGCAGTCTTCGTCCATTTTCAACCGTACTGACTTAATGGACCTTATTACGCAAATCCGAAATATGGCATTGAGAGGAAGCAAGCGGCGAATTGATTTTGATACAGAAAATGCACTTACAAGCTCAGACATTTTAAATCTGACAGGCCTTTCTAAGGAAAACTTTAATGACCTATGTTCAATTGTCCAAAAGGGTAATTTACGGGATTCTCGGACTCGAAGTGTTCGGACATGTATTGGAATATTTCTGACCAAATTGAAGTCTGGTTTATCCAATAAACTTTTATCAACACTTTTTAATCTTGGTAAAGATTCTGTTAAACGTGCTATTGCATCAGCTAGAAAATTCTTGTCTGACAATTTTGTTCCCTCTAATCTAGGATTTAATCATATAAGTAGGGAAGAGGTTATAACATCGCATACTCGACCTCTAGCGCAATCACTGTTTGGAAAAGGAATGTATCCAGCAATTATAGTCGCAGATGGCACTTATATTTATATCCAGAAAAGTTCACAATTCAAGTTCCAACGTAAATGCTATAGTATGCACAAACATCGACCATTGGTTAAACCAATGGTCTTTGTAACAACTTCTGGTTACATAATAAGTGTAATTGGACCGTACTTTAGCGACGGCAAAAACAACGATGCACAAATAATGAAGCACATCATTCAACATGACATTGAGGAATTTAAAGAATGGGTGACTGAGGATGACATTATGATTGTCGACCGGGGTTTCCGAGATGCACTTGACTTACTGCAAGAAATGGGTATCCAAACAAAAATGCCAGCTTTTAATAAAAAAGGGGAGTCTCAACTTCCAGTTGAAGACAGCAACGTAACAAGACTAGTTACAAAAATCCGTTGGGTGGTAGAGTCCGTGAATGGCCGCATTAAGTCATGGAAATATCTAGATAGAGTTCTACCAAATAGCCAGATTCCATTTGTATCTGATTATGTCAATATTGCCTGTGCAATCATGAATAAATATTGGCAAGAACTAAATACAGGGGACTCAGAACAAGATGAACAATTGGCGTCTAAAATGCTTTATCTTTCAAAGCAAAAGAACTTACTCCATGAGAAAATAATAGAGGAAGGCCTTGACAAACGTTCTTGTAAATGGCAAAAGATTGATGCTTCATCCGCCCCTACTTTTCCCCGTTTATCAGAAGAAGATATAAGAAATATTACTGTTGGAGTCTACCAACTAAAACTTGCTCCAAGTTATACAAGAGAACACCTAGATGACGATGGTAATTATGAAGTTTTTACATGTGACCATGAAGAGAATCTTTTGTGTGCTAAAATTCAATCAAGACATATATCATCAAAATGCTATCGTGTATGGGTTAAATATGATGACATTAGTGTCGTGGGTTGGTATTGCCAGTGCAAAGCCGGAAGTCGTGTTGTAGGAACCTGCTCTCATGTTACGGCCTTAATTTGGTATCTTGGTATTGGAAAGTACACGGATAGAATTTTAGAAAACTGTCGTGATTGGAGCAAATATCTTCTTGATGCTCGTAACCTGCCAGATCCAGTTACTGTTGACGAAAGTGACAACGAGGAAGCAAATGATGAAGAGTGAATGACGTGAAAATTCATTATTTGTTTTTTAATTTGAAAGAAATGACAAAACGTTTAATTCCTTTTTGAACCATACATTTTATAGTGTATATCATTTGATATGTCTGGAAATGTTTTTACCAACTGCTTCCTCCGACATTGTACAGAATTGAAAGAATAGTTGTTAATTTGCTTGGTTCCTTTTTATCTAAAATCGTACTTCTGCAAAATTATGTCTGTCATCAGGAAATGTGTCTTATGTAAAAGTGTACTCTCCGGTTTTATGTATTAGTGTATATGAAAAAAAAACAATCCGTGTTCTTTAAGACTTACAGAAAGATAGTTCAATGCACGGGTTAAAATAACTGAATCCATTTCTTTTATATTTCAAACCGTAGGAAATCATTAGATAGTCGCTGTACGTAGTAGCTCATTTTTTATATGGGTTATTATATATGTGACCCAATGTGTATTTTATGTATAATACATCACATTTCTACTATTTTAATCACCTTATCCATTCGTATGACCGTGCGTTTGTCAAACAAATATTTTCTAAATATTTCTTTCCTCAAAACTAATATACATGTCAGAATGTCATCATATTTTGTCAGCGACCAACCCTATCAAGTTGTAGTTTGTGTGTTTTTTTTCTCTCGAATATCTCAGACAATAACTTCATGTTTTCTTGTATGTTGAGTAACTAGTTCAACATATTTCTTCATATACATGTTTTTCATATGACTATTTGCAAGTAATTGTAAGATTTAACTAATAGGTACATAACTCATCAAAACATATGTTCATGATAAATGAAAGGGAAATGATTCATTGTGTTAATGATAAATAATTTTTTTTGATTTTTTTTTCTTTTCTTTGGTAAATTGTTTAAAGAATTTTGTGTTAGATTTGTTTGTTATTCTGTAAAAACTTATTTTGGGCCAAGTTTTCAAGTTGGTCGAAATGGGGGTCCAAAATTAAACTGTTTGATTTCAACATGAATTGAAAACACATTTGTATATAGGGTTCTTTGAAATGTTGTATCTAAACCTGTATTAATTTTAATTATTAATTAAATAATACCACATTGAGGTCGAAAGGGTCCTAAAATAAACTTTTCTTTACTTTCATCAAAATTTTAATTCTTGGGGTTCTTTGATATGCTGATTCTAACAATGTTTAAGTGATTACATCATATCTAATTTTATAGAGATTAGTCATCACTGGTTGATGTTATTATATGAGTTTGAGTTTGAGTTATTATATGAATTTTGAATCATTTCCCTTTCAACAGAAAGTAGTATTTCATATAAATTGAATTCTTGGGGTTCTTTGATATGCTAGTTCTAACAATGTACTTATATTTTGGATATTGGACCATAATAGGTAAATGTCCAATTTCAAATTTATCAGTTCTTTGCACTTGACAACATTCATTTTGGGTCGCAAACTTATGCTGTGTCAAATATTCAATCACAATCCAAATTCAGAGCTGTTTTAAGCTTAAATGTTGTGTCCATACTTGCTCAACTGTTCAGGGTTCGACCTGTGCAGGAAAATCCGGTTTGCTGTCACTCTGACAGCCTCTTGTTTAATTTACCTTGGAATCCGGTATTTTTTTAATACTAGTACTTTTTTTTATTACGGACCTTAAAAATAATAATGATATTGAATAAATTTCAAACAACAGTTCCTATTGTCAACGCTTGTTCATTGTCAAAATAAAATAGACGAGCCGTCTAAGATTAAACTGAATCACTCGTCTTTGTGACCCACAGGAGAATGGAAAATAAATACTTTTTTACAAAGCTATAATCAAAGTTTAAATAATTTATTTATTACAAAAATAAAGGATAATTATGGAACCTGTGTATTTAAAGTTGTAATACTAATGGCGACAAGCGTCGTGTGTGTTTGTCTCCTTTTTTTGTTCTCATCTTAACACCTGGTAAAATGTCATGTCGTTTCTTATACTTTTAACGACTTATTATCCAAACAAACAAAAAAATTCTATCTGATTTGTCGGAATTCCAATCAGATTTTAAGATTTGACAATACAAAGTTTTCTCAAATTTCATCTTTTTTGCCAAAAACAGTATTTAATTTTAAATACATGAGAAAGATGACGCGTGCCATCATAACTATGTATACATGTATTGTATCCACTAAGGAATTGGATTACTCAGATATTTAGCTGTTCAAAGTTTATTATTATACTGGTGCATGACATGCAACTGCTATATTAAATGTCATTTTGGTGCATAGGATACATAACATTATTTTCAAATAACAAGACAGATGAAAATAACACGGAAAAAATTGTTAATTTGTTGCAATTAAAATGAGATAAACATTGAAGTGTGTACTACATGATATCTTAATAGTATATTGATGTAACTATTAGAGGTGTTGATTTATTGACTTTTTAATGGCGCTGTTAAATATATTTAAATGTTTTTTATTAGTCTGTAAGTTAAAATTTATTCTGGATGGTAAGAAAATTGTGTATTTTGCATTTTTTTTTCTTTCATGTAAGCTGTCAATTGAAGACTTTAAAAAAAAACCTTGATTTTGGTACATTTTTGGTGTGAAACAATCATGGAATTTTCCTCATTTCTGTTCTATGATAAAAAATAAATTGAACGTCAATGAAGTTATTACTGTATGTTATATTTGTGTTGTGTCACAGATGACCAAAAATATGTAGCACAAGCCCATCTTTAGTTAGAGAATGCATTTTATCTCATAATATTTAATTGCAATGATCTACATGACAGGTGTCTCTAGTGGAGCAGAAACTTCTTACCCTTCAGAAGCACCCGAATTCGACCGGTTTAGGTACCGTTCGTGTTGTTCAATCTTTGGGTTTTTTTTGCATAATAGTGTTTTTTGGACTGTTGTTGTTTGTCTTTTAGTAGGTTTCCATTTTGGATATGATGCTGTCTGTTTAAATAGACTTATTGTTTTAATTTCCTCTTTGGTATTTCCTACTTACTGTTTCTGCAAAAAGATAGAAACCTAATAACAGAAAAGCTGAATAAACCCAGACATCTAGTTAGTTTCAGGTATCTGAATCAGATATAGACCGAGGTTGTATGTTAATCACAGCCATATAAGTATAACAATTGAATAGATTATTACATTAATCATACATCGAAAACCGTTAGTATAAGATATGGATAAAATACAATATCTGTTCCATAGAAGACGACGGATATGTTCCAATTTTCGTAACCACAATCCCGTCCTCTTTCCCCCCGAGTATGACCTAACGAATCAGATTTATCACCGGGTTTGTACTAACATGGGCAACACGAAGGGTGACACATGTGGAGCAGAATTTGCTTATCCTTCTCGGGCACCTGAGATCACCCGCGGTTTTTGGTGGGGTTCGTGTTGCTCAGTTATTAGTTTTTTCTATGATGTTTTTTGTATACTGCTGTTTGTTTGTTTTTTTGTTTTTTTCTTTTTTTCGTTGTTTGCCATGGCGTTGCCAGTTTATTTTTTCCAATTATGAATTTGAATGTCCCTTTGGTATCTTTCGCCACAAACGACAGGTTCTATGCTTGAACAATAAAGGAAATGCAAATACGCCAGCCAGCAAAATAGACAACCACTGATTTACAGGTAAGTCTGTTCTTTACTTTATATCAATTATGACAAATGCTATGATTTCCGTATACATAAAGCGTGTGCCTGGAAGAACCATAATATGGAACGATCCAGACCAAAAGTTTGCAAGGCATAGAATATAAAGGATATACAAGAACAGCAAACACATTTGCCTAAGAGAGTTGTGACCATTGTTTTATAACCATTACATAAATTTATAAACTAGAATAAAGGCACCAATAATATCACACCAATAAAGAAACACTGGACCCTTGATATGCATTTCCTATTTGTTTAACCAAATATAAGCTTTCTAAAGTTTTTCTGTTAGCCACATGTAATTCTACGTCGACTCTCAAGTGTCGTTAAAAACAAATGTGGAAGATAAACACGACGTATTCATATATGCGGCTTACATATGTAAAACATAAACATGTATGGCTAATATGTATGTGTTACATGTATTATATAGGGTTTTACAAATGTGAAACCTGTATGAAATATTCTAATTATGACAAAATTTAACCGATAATTAATAAAATATCGACCATATTGTCCAAGTTTTAGCACTTCTTTTTCAAATCGGGAATTTGCACAAATGGGTTTGTTTTCATATCATTATATCCGGTCTAAAAGAGGAGTTATACTGGTTTATATCCTTCCGTACATCTGTCCTTCCTTGCCATGAAATGTTCGTCCAATGTTTTCAAAAACTAGAAATTAGAGCTTCCTAAATTTGGCATCAAACTTTATCTGAGCATGCGATACTATTTTCGCATCCATCGTTTTACCGAATACGTTCTTGTTCTTTCATAAAACACCCATCTAAGATATGAAAGTTTCATCATTGTTCTCAGTAACTACAAATCAGAGCTTTATGAAAATTTTATATTAAGCTTCATGTGATCATGCTTTACCGATTGTTGTGTTTTCACATCCATCACGTTTACCAAATACTTAAAGCGGTGCATCATTTGAGAGCAATAGCCCAAGGTACAATTTGTTTGATCTTGATTTAATTGTAAAAGTATAAACTAATGCTGCAAAGTATAAAAAAATGCAACTTATACATTTATAGTTAATGTGGGCACCTCAAATGCTGAGTTGCCTGTTATCTCACGACCTAGCACGAAAGAACTCTTTTGGAAAGCAGATGATTGTGATTATGAACACCAATACAATAAAAATATTTCAACATGGAAAAACCCATAAAAGAAGAATAGAGCTCGAGGTCAAAATTCAATCTTCAATTATTAATATAAATGCGACATACAAGTTTCAAAATATCTCAAACTCTATACTCAACTTATACTAGCTGAATTAAACGTGGGACTACCAATAACTCCATCGAAACTGCAATCATATAATGGAGAAAACAGATTTTTGCATAGTAAAGATTTATTAAGTTGCGGTATTTGTATTAATATTTACTCAGTTTGAAGGACGGCCAAGCTATTTACTGTTCATCCTCACACAGAATGCGCATGACATGTTTTTTTGTAAAACGTAATCTACAACCATTTGTGTATTACCAGTTACGTTTAATTACTTTGTACCTAAAAGTATTCAGCAAATGCCAACTATTTTAGATTGAGATAAATTTAAAATACTCACGAGTCAACATTGGTCTAGATTGTCAATGATAGGACTATTTCATTTATGCGGATGAACTGATGATACCCAAGATTATTAAACTGACGTTACGGATTAATACGTCGATACCAAAAGCAATAGACATAGGCTTTTATACGGTTTAAACAACCTTCTTTGTTTCAAAAGAGATACAAGATGACCTTATGAGGTTACTGTTGAAAATGATGAAAATCACGCTTAAAATCTTTTCAAATATGACTGGTATGTTAAACAACAAGGGAGGTGTTTGTGAGAGATATTTGCAAAATGTAAATAAACTACATAGAAATTGAGTTGTTACAATTTGAAAATAAAAGACTAAAAACTTGCAGTTACATTCATTTATAATATTTAATTAAAGATTCACCTAAATACTCCGTTAATAAATTTATCCACTCGAAGTTAAGCTCCATTTTTTGTAACTATCGAATGTGCATGGATTAATATCATAATTAAAAGAGTATTATAATATATTGATAGCTGGTTTTCTTATAATGTAATAAACAACTCGCAAAACATTCG